TATTTTTCCAATTGCTATTCGTGGGTTTCGTCTCGCCGTCCTTCGCACCTTCGTCGCGGTGCGCTTCTGTGACCGCCAATCGCCTTTACTCCTCTAGTTGTCGTGGGGGAGCACTTGGGGTTTCTGGTTTCAGAAAACACCTAATCCAGTTTGGTTCCAACCGTTTGATTCATCTGTTTTGTTTGGTTCGAGTGGTTTGGTCTGGTTCTGTCGTTTTGTTCAAATAAGTTCGCTTGTTTGTTATGGCCGAGAAGAAATCAATCGTAACTTCTGAGGTGATCCCAATGATATCAAAAATCACAGAACACAAGTTGAATGAAGCACGAATAGATTATTTGTCTAACAAGTTGGGCATGATTAACATATATGCACCAACTTGAGGGGGAGTGTTAGAGTATATATTAGTATATTTTATATTCTTGTATTAATATTAATTTATCATTTACCTTCTCCTTATAGGATTAGGTCAACCTTGTATATTTGTCTATATATATATACTTTAATAATGAGAATATAGAATATTTGTCTATATATATATACTTTAATAATGAGAATATAGAATATTGGATACTCTCCAACCTTAGTCTCTACAAAACTAAAAGAGAAGACCAAGAAGATTACAAAGGTCTCTCCAGTCGGTGGACAAGGGAGTATAAAAAAATCCTTACAGATAGGAAGCCAACCAAAAACGGTCGATTAAATCCAAACTCACACATCACCCTACCCTCTTCATTTTCCCTAAGAAAATAACCATCCTACTCCTTTTCAAACCTCCTAACAACAGTTGAGGTGTGGAGCCAGGCAAAGGGATCTTCACATTTGGATTAAAACCCCTCTCTTCTTTTTAACACCATGAGTGTCCAGGCTGATTGATATGCACCCTAACTGATCCTTGAAGACAATTACCTCATACTTTGTTTTTTTAATCAGCCATAGGTATCCTGGCCAGTTTATGCATGCTTTGATTAATTTTATGGGGCAACCACTTGAACCTTAACAATTGATACTACTAGAGAACTCCGAATATCTAATATCTCAGGTAGTCACCTTTGTTTGAAACTTTGAACCCATGTTATAGTTTGCCTGTGAATCACCTAGCCAAACCATCGTTTAATATTTGACACAAAAATGGACATAACTATATCAACCTACCATATTTGACATCAAGAAACTTGAAAGAATAATAATAGATGACCAACTCGACACCCAACCCAAAAGGCTTTTCTTGGTCTACAAGTTCTAGCCTTTTGACAACTGGAAAACCCATATTTAAATATCTTTAATGGAGCTAAAAACAATTATACACAAACCCACTACAAAACTCAATCTTTATAACTACTGTCATTCAGTCAAGATAATTAAGAATTTGCTTAAGTGTAAATATAAAACATGTAAAGCATGTAAATAGATGAGGAAGCAACAACTTACCATTTGTGTGACTCACACCAAGCGCAAGAAGCACCTCTAAGTTTGTAGGATCAACATCCAGTGCACGCTTCATGGCAGCTATAGCCTGCAAATATTAATTTATAGCATAATATTGTATAAATAACAATCAGCAATCAGGAGTTAAACATGAGATGGCATACCACAATACCGGAAGTATAATTGCCATGAAAATACATCACCTAAACTTATAGGTTTATAAGTATTAGCAATACGCATGTCGGAGAAGTATTAGCACTTAGCATCACTAAAAGCAGGCCTTTAGAAAATGGCTGAGCATGCAATACAACTTGAGCTAGCCACTTCGACTCTTTTCAGTTTTCAGACACAAAAATTTCTGTATAATTACTTCCCAAGGTTTTCAAACCCAGGACCACGTTCAACTCATCACAGAAAATTAGTAGATTAATAGTTGTCTGTTGACATTGAATTATTGGACAATCTGAATTTGGTTTTGTTAAATGATGATGAAGACAAACTTTCTTGGAATTTGAATAAAAATGGGACTTTTTCTGTCAGCTCCTTATGTAACTCTAAGGCTCCTCTGCTGCATTACCACGAGATTTTTGCTCAAAGTTCTGGAATTCTGGTAGCCCTCAAGAAGGTTAATGTCCTTACATGGATTCTTATGTTTGGCAAGGTCAATACAGCTGAAACTATGTAGAAAAAGATACCATATATGTTTCTCCAGTCATCTGCTTGTGTTTTTTGTGTAAACTCAAGCGAAAATCAGCTGCACACTTTCTTTTTCTGCCCATTTGCAGCAACCTGTTGGTCTGCCTTTTTTGGTATCTTCAACCTACCTTGGGTTATGGACAAGTCAGTCTCGAACTTGGTTTTTCAGTTGCTGTTTGGTCTACACATGAATCCTAGAGCTACATTACTTTGGGTCAACGGTCTTAAAGCCCTTATTTATGAATTATGGTTCGAGCGCAATCAAAGGACCTTCGAAGGGCTAAAAAGGCATCCATTGGAATGTTTTCACATTGCCAAATTCAAAGCTTCTCAATGGTGTGCTCTTTCCAATCTTTTTGTCAATTACTCACCTAGCATGATTGATTCTAATTGGGATGCTTTGTATTCATTTTTTTTTGTTTTTTTTATTTTCATTTTTTTTATTTTTTATCTTTCTCACTCCTTTGGAGTTTGTATCCTTAAACATTTTATGTTCTCTTTCATTTATCAATGAAAAGTTCGTTTCCTGTTAAAAAAAAAATAGTTTTCTGTTGACATGTTGACAGGATGATACTCTGACTTTTTATTTTTGCTTTTCTGGGTTGTATCTTTTTATTTTATGTTTTTCCACTCCCTTGAGAGTTTGTATCTTTTTGAATATTTTTTGTTCCTTTTCATTTATCAATGAAAAGTTCGTTTCTTGTTTAAAAAAAAAAAAAAAGTTGTCTGTTGACACTGTGACTTGCGATAATTAATTGATTCCATAAAGAAAATTAGCAATTTTACCGGACTACAAATATCAAATACCATGACGACTGAAGAGATAGTGCTTTCAATGCAACAATTTAGTTCACAATTTGGAAGAAACAGAAAAATTCTAGCATATTGATGCCCAACAATTGCATCATTTTAAGATGATATAATCCATTCTGTATTATGATGTGACTTAACAATATATGCAAAAATCTATCAACCATCCATTCTATATAAAAATATTAAGCACCTGTTGAGCTTCTATTTTTAACTATTTCACATCAAGAATGTTAAATACCTAGTTGATCTTATAAGCCTGAAAATCTGCGTCAAGAACATAAAATACCTGTTGATCATCATCATTTTCTGCATGTGCAATTCCAAGAAGCCTCCAACCTTCAGCATTATCAGGGTTTTTCATGACCTCGGCCTCTAAAGCAAGCACTGCCTCACTCAAAAGGCCTTTACGGAACAGATCCTGGCCTTCCTTTAAGGGATTAGGATGACCAACATATGGGTTCATATCAGAAAAGACGTATATTCCCTTTGAAGCATCCGTCTTTCCCTTGGCAGCTACTTGTTCGTTTAGATAGCTGGCAGTCAAGATCAAAGATAAGTTTGTGCAAACATTAAATATAGATTCTCCAAAGAGAAATCAAAATATGTTCATACACACCTCCAACATATGTTGGAAAAAGAAATGTACAGATGTATAGAAACATCATTTAGACAAACAAAATTCTTGCTAACCACAAATCATAAAATAGAACAACTTGGCTCTTCTATACAAAAAAAAGGTAATTGCAAATTAAAATAACATCACAATTTACACTTTTCATATAAATAAACTCTTTTTAAAAAAGAAATGATATGCAGAAATACAAACTAAAAAAAACATCCGGGAGGGCGTGGGTTGACTATAAATCTCACCCCAATTGACCCCAAGTAAAAGAATATTGTTTTTTCAAGTGTAAGACATGCTAAAGGCAAAAAACTCTTCGGAGCTGAGATGCAAGGCCCAAAGTAAAAGGAAAAAGTAAAAATAATATGATTTTACATTATATCATAAAAAATTAAAAATTAAGTTCATGAAACTCAACACATAAAAGAAAAGTTACACAAACAAGTATAATCAACAGGACTTGGTGAGTGGTGACCAAATACACACTGTCAAAATGTTGGTTTTCAAGAGGACTCAGATAACCAGAAATACTTAGAAGTTCGTTCAAAGTTTGGGGTCAATTGGGGTTATAACCGTAACGAATTCTTTGCCTACCATTTTTTAGGTTGGGGTCAATTGGGGTGAAACTTCCCTCCCTTTGAAAATGGGAGGGCTGAACATTGGTGCTTTTTATCAAAGAAATAATGCTTTGCTTCTTAAGTGGCTGTGGAGGTTTACTCAAGAGGAGAATGCCCTTTGGAGGAGGGTTATATCTAGCATCTACAGTTTGGAAACTCAATGTTGGTTGACTAAAAAACCGAATGGTGGAGTTAAAGGAAGGCCCTGGTTCGGTATTGCTAAGAATACTGCTTTCTTCCTAAAGTTCTTGTCTTTCAAAGTTAATCATGGAAATAGAATTAAATTTTGGCATGGCAAATGGGTTGGTTTGAATCGTTAGCGGAGGACTTTTTGAACATATATTTTCTTTCCCTGAAGAAAGAGGCTACGATTGTTGAGTGTTGGAAGGAAGCTCAAAGTGACTGCAACTTGGGTCTAAGAAGAGACCAGTTTGATAGAGAGTTAGACAGCTGGTTGGGTTTAGTAAGCAGATTGGATACTGTTCGGTTTGGTGAGGAAACAGACATTTCACTACAAAGTCAGCCTTGAAGAACTTCTTCGAAATTACAACCAAGCTGAAAATGCCCCTGCTCCCCCTCAGCTGGAAGTATGAGATTCCTATGAAGGTTAAAGTCTCTCTTTAGTCCTTAGCCCATAGAACCTTGAATACTCACAAAAGACTCCAATTTAAATGCCCCAATTGGTCCTTGTTTCCCTCAGTCTGCCTTTTGTGTCTTAGAAAGGAGTAAGATGTAGACCACATCTTTATCCACAGTCAGTTTGCTGCTAAAGGGCTGGCTTTTTCTGCTGCAGTTTGGCTGAGATTTTGTAGGGTTGGTTGTTAAAACGCAAGGCCAAGGTCCTTTGGAACTGCACGTCTAGAGCCCTTCTTTGGAACATTTGGAACAAACGAAACTTAAAGAGTTTTTTATGATAGATCCTCTTTAGACATTTTTTGTAATAGTGCCTTGAGTCAACATTTTCTTTTTTTTTTAAACAAAATTGAGAGATTGAGTCCAACATATTCTTGAGATGGTTAACGGGAAACTCAGAGCTCTAGGAATCTTCTTGGTGTCCTCTTTCCAAGCTTTTTTGAAATTACAGTACTTTTTTTGGTTACTCCCAATAGGAGTAAATTTTTACACACTCCTTTTTTTCCTGGGGTGAAGTAGTAATTTATTTCCTTCTTCTTTTGTACTTCTCTTCCACTGAAAAAGGTATCTAGTGTATGTTTGTGTGTATATATTTAAAAACAAACAAACAAAATTTAAAAAAAGAAAAATCAATAATAAAGAAAGAAAGAAAAGGGAAGCTATATATAGCCCAGAAGTTCACTTCCTTGAGGTATATTGGCAAAGCTTTCCAAATAATCCAAAATGATCACTTTAGCATGCTAATTATGAGATAGCTGTTAGCCTAATGTATTTCAATACAAGTCTGCAGTTTTAAATTGGTGTTGTTCATCTTTTTCCAAGTTAGTAATGGATTCATAAATTGTTGCACTGAGTAGCAATAAACCATTACTTGGTCTTTGCTCTTAATGGAAAGTAACATATGGACCTAACAACAAACAAAGATTTGAAATATAAAACATGGAAGTAGAGCAGAATGCAAAAGAATTTATTGTAGGCGGTTGCTTTCAGCATTATTTTATAGTCACTTAAAGTAAAATATCAGACTTACTCATCATAAGCATTTGCCCAATTATCGGCTTCTCCAAAAGCCCCTTCCCCAACTTGCTGACCAAATTCTTCACCCCAGTCTTGCATGTGCAACTTGGAAAATTCATTTACCCATGGATTATCTGACAGATGTTGCTTCCCTTCAGCAAACTCATCAGCCCACCGGTTAGTTTCATTAGAAACCTGAATCCATTTTTTATTGAAAAAAATAAGTCTCGTAAAAGCATTTAAATTCTATCTTACATGGGAAACATGGATAAATTTAATTATACAGGCAGAAGAACAAGTAGACTTGCAATCAAAAGAGTTGCAAAAGTGCCAATGCAACTACAATTGGGAGGGGGAGGATCAGAGCAGAGGATTCAACTCTGTGCATGCATAGATACATTTGAGTTGCATTGCATCAGTAAAAAATCAAAAACAAAACACTAAGAGTGTGTTTGGGAAGGCTTCTCAAAAAAATTGATTTTAAGTGATTCTATAAGCACTTTAGAAAGAAGCACTCATTAAATGCTTTCCTAAATGCCTTAGAATTTTTTAAATCATTTTTATTATCTAACCAAACAAATTTTTTAAAATTACATTTCACCCTCTCAAAAGTCGCCTGCATGTAGGGTGGTTGCAAGGGAAGGGACAACTATCATTGTCAAAAATCCTAATACAAACAAACAAGAAGTTTCTGTCTTTATTAGCGGGTCATTTCATATACTTGTACATCATTGATTTTTCTTGAAGACATTTTGTAATTATCTTATTTGATTCATAGTTTTTTTTTCTCTGGGTTGGTGGGGGACAAAAAAACAAGAAACAAATGAAACCAAACAAGAAACTTTTCATGAAAACACCCACCCACCCGACAGATTGTGGGGGTTGGGATTTAAAGGGGCCATCTTGTTTCATGACTTACAAATTCATCAGCCCAAGGAAGACCTGCATTATACTGTTGCTGGTACTCAGAAGCCCAGTTATCTGATGGAGAATAAGGGATTGGCTTGACTTGATTATCATCAATAATAAGTTCACCCCTACTCATCTTTGAAACAAACTGAAGAAACTTCGAGTTCTGTGTGCCAAAGGGTCAAATATCAAAATTGGCTTTTCTATACAAGAATGATGATGTTTTTTAATGCAAAATCCGCACCAATAAGAAGCATGGAAAACACAACACCTATCGAGAAGAATATCAACAAGGATTTCTAAAATGTTACATACACACAAATAAGAGAAGCAACGCATAAAGTCCTCAAAAGTTCCCCAAAAAACTAAACTACAAACAACAAGAAAGCCAAACCCAAACAACCCAAAATAGTAGAATATTAAACCATGGTTAAATTACAAATTTAGTCCTTGAACATTGATGGTTATGTCCATTTAGTCTTTTTAACTTTCAAAAGTTCTAATTAAATCATAAACTTTCAATTTTGGTTTTAATAAGCCTCAAAATGTTAACTTCACATTCTAATGGGAGTGATAAGTTATGATTTGACACAACATTACACAAGATAGTATGGTCAATTTGACAAAATAAAGGCGGGAGCCAAAAATTTTAATGGGGTGGGCAGGTGGAATACTTCAAATCTCTTAGTTCTTAACCATACATTCTAATCTTCCTAAGTTGATTCAAAATGATTCAAATGTGTCGGTGTTTGTATTTGGGGGTCCATACAACCAAAGGGCTGCACATTCATTAGTGTTATACTTATCATATCAAGAGAATTCTATGTATTTCCCCCAAGAGGGCATGCCGAAATACATAATAGGTAGAGCACTAGAAGAACAAAGCCAACTTTGCAGCCACAGAAACCAATTCCCAATGTTAGATTTATGCCACAACCAACGGCTTCCTCCAAATCCACCTTTAAACGTTTGAAGCCATCTGAAAAAGCTTTACCTGAGTATCCTCACTAAAAACGAATCATCGGATAATTGGAAATTGGTTCTTTGAATGTCTTCCTTTTCTACTCATAATCCCTCCAATAACCCCACCTTCTCACCATGGATTAACAAACAACTTGGCACATCTCCCAGCAACACAAAGAAAAGGAGAAAGTTCCCAATAGCACCCTTCGATCCACCTATTACCAAGACCTTTTCTCTCCCAAGACCACAAATAAGAAGGCTCTGAATCCACCATACCATATGTTTTTTATAAGGCTCACTATTATTTATCGAAACAGACATCAAAACAAGGGAGATTTTGGGAGCTCCCCAACTCTCCCTAAGGACTCACAGAGCCTTACAGATTTTACTATGCAAAAAAATACCCCTCCCCTCAACAACATTCTATCTTAAAACCTCCTCTCCTCGTGTCACAGCCCTTACACCTCATTCCCTCTAACTAACGATATTCCTAGGGCCCACAAAAAATACCCCTTCCTTAGTCCTTGTGTCACACACTTGCATGTAATATTTAGTGATTTGGGGTCAGTTTTCTCTCAAACAATTTTAAAAATCCACCCTCTCCCCTGCCACTTCATTAGCAATTAAAATTGAATCGGCAATTTGTCACCACCCAATATATGCAGTTTGAAAGTGAAATACAATGACAACAATGACCTTCAATCTCTAAGCTAAAATTTTGGAAATGATTTTCCAGATAGCATTCACTAAACTAAAAGATCTGGAATCCTTGATGAGAAGTGCCCTCTCCTTTTTAGCAATAAACATATAAAAATTTCTTTCAGCCTTGCATTTAGGTGACCTGCTTACAAAATCATGGAACAATTCGGCTATGTCTTTCTTTAATTAACATGCTAAGTCTTTTAAGGCACTCACCTGTAAATCCATCCAGCCCAAGAGCATTCTTTGAACCTTTCAACGCTTTCACTAACCCAAGAAACCTAAAAAACCCTCAAAATGTCTCAAACCACAAGTATTAGCTTTGAGAGATATGTTTCCAGTAAATGCCATTGGGTATAAATCTGTTTCCAGCTTCTTTTTACATTTATCGATAAAAAAGAAATTACGTCCAACACCAATTCTGAGTCTTCCACCGAGCTAAAGCCCTGATTAGAAATAAACTCATAGGTGTAACTTTCCTTCTTTTGGCTGCCAACCATCTTTGGAATACAGTTGCATTCTCATCTCCTTTGAGCCAATTGATTTTTACTTTTTTATAACAATTGTCTTTTCCTCCAAACAAATGTCTATCAGCCGTTTTATCAGGTCAATCCTCTCTTCTGCCTCCTCGGTTGGGAAAACAGAAACCTATCTTCCTCAACACTATCAAAGGCAGCAATTTCTTCTATCTATTTCCTCCTTTGATTTTTGAGGTCCCCCGGCCCCCACTAACAGTATAGACTTACTCCACGCCTTTGGCTTGTAAATCAGATTTCCCAACTTTTTTAGCATTTGAAGTTCAGCAAGCCTGCGGTTAAACCTTCTTTCCACCAACTTTTTTAATAAAACCAGAATATTTCAAGTTCTTAACCATCCATTTTCAAATCAATGAGCATTCGTCCCCATTCTGAATTTCATGTCTCCATCAGACGAGGTGCATGATCAGAAGTCAACGTTGGCTTCCTTATACAATTCCATCCATTCACTTGAAACCAAAAATCTATCAAGTAACAATTGGAAAGGTACTTCACGAACTTCGATTAATAGAAAACCACCCCCTTCCTTTCTCTCTTGAAACAAACACCATGGCAATAACCATATAATGCTACAATTTCATCCCAAAAATCCTGTGTTTTTCGACCTAGGACGTCCATAGATGTCAGAAATCCCTACCTTTTATCATCACCTAATTCCACACTTCCGAATTAGTGAATGCTGCCAAATGGAGTGGCATAAGGACCCTTTCACAACTATATCACACAGAATCAAACAGCTTAGCAGTAACATATCACAAAAGTCAAGCAGCTTAGAAATCCTAACTTCAACCTTTTATAGGAGGAACTAACTAATCTTCCGATGATGAGTTTTCTTAACCTAGTGGAGAATAGCATAGCCATCTCAGTATTTCCGTAAAATTTACAGAAATTTTAATAGATAGGATGATATTTTTCTGGAAACTAAAGACTAAATAGGTATTATTTAATGTTCAAGATCCATGTTGAAAACAAATGAGACGCAGCATAATGAAAACTAGCCATCTATCCGTCAGCAAGCATAAATGAAAAATCCAGAACCACCTAACAAACAAAGATATTCAGGGTGCTAGTCTGATTTTTACATTCAGTAAGCACAAGAATGAAGATACTCCCAGTATAAAGCCATTAGTTTGACCTTTGGCTTTATTTGGCAAGAAAATACTATATTTTATACCATTATAGAACCTTTTTTTTTTTGTTAAAAATAATTTTACGATGTTAGCAAGCATAATTGATCAAACCAACAGTTTGTCAAAGTTTGCTTATGTTGCACTCTCATCAAATATGAATGGAAATAAAAAACATTAGTTATGTTTTAGATGCATGAAACACTAAAATCGTGACAAAGAATATCAACCTGAAATTTAGGGTCGTTATTTTCAGCTAATGTATTTGCAAGCTTGCGAGTCTGCTCCATTGCAGATGCGTTCATCATATTACTTTTCATCATGTCAGCCGATGCTAACTGAAACTTCTCCTGTGGGAGAAAGAGAATTACAATCCACAAACCATGGAGTCAAATATAAGTTATTATAATTGAATTAGCGTCAAATTAGATATTGTGCATGCAGCATCAATTATTATGCTAACCAAGAGTGGAGGACATGTAGATAATATTTACCCAAGGGTGTTGAAAGTAAAACAAGGTCACGTGACATTGGCCACGAAGTGTAATCAATGGTGATCAACCAAGAAATAAACTACCCAGAATTAGTAAAGCAGCTTTATCATTGTCTAAACTTTAAAATGGCATAGGCATGGCTTAAATATCTCCGTATGACCAAGTCTACAGCAGGGAGCCACCAAATTCTGCAACTCTTAATCCAACAGAATGTTCTTAATTCTAAATTAATAATTACCAAAGATATCAAGCTCGTGATGTGATGCATTACCTAATGCCAGTTTCATGATTATCATTGGAAAAATTATTGTCGCTTAAACACTCTAATACGAGCATGAAATACAAAATGGACAGTAGAAAGCCAATAAAAACATCAGCCACTCATCATGTAATATTGATTGATCAGATGGGGATCAGCGTTACAGTTGCAACTTGTAGGACAAGCTGCAGAGCTTCTTACCTGCTCAAACTCGGAGGCCCAACCATTGGCACCATGTTGTTGTTCAAACGATTGAGCCCAAGCCTCATGATCAGCATATTTTTCCCTGTTTAGACTATATTCAGAAGCCCATCCATCTGCTATATGACCACCAGCTCTCTGGACACCTTGGGATTCATTCCAATAATCCTCCAACTCATGAAACCTACCAGGTTGAGGCCCTCTAACCTTTTTACTGTTGTCAATGTCTAAAGATGATAGAAGTGCATTAACCTGGAAGAATTGAGAACAAAGAAACCCCGATAAGTTTACATTAACAAGTTACCAGTTGAATATAAAGAAAGTTGATAAGCTTAATCCTTTTCTTTGCAAACTCATTTAGAATCATAAAAAGGTTTACAATCTCTTTTTTGCGACTAGAGTTCCTTTTTATCAGCTATTGGAGAATAGATTTGGTGTCTAGGGCCAATGACTCCCCTTTTCATATACTTATTTTGCCAAGAATTGTCTCTTATCGAAAAAATCATAAATATTTCCACATACTAAAGCTTTTCAAGATCTGTATTTT